GCTACTGCGTCACATGTTTGCCTGAGGAGCGGAGGCAGCAGTATGGCGTCTTGTCTGGAGTTTATTGTAACAAGGTAAGTTTCATGTTAAAATTATCACATTTGACTATTTTTTATGGAGGCATTATTTTTCCGTTTACATGAGTATTGATTCATATACATAGTTTGCTTAATGTATGTTTATTTGTTTGGATATCACGGTATATACAACTGTTTATTATCTTAACCTAACTTTGAAACTGTCAGGAAAATCTGGAGGCCATTTGAGTTAACATTATTTAGCTGTGGAGGTCGTTTTCTTTAAGTTTTTGGCTGTAGACTACAAAATGGGAGAGTGGCTGTGGTGGACCGTTGGCTTGATCTAAGCCTGTAGTCTGTCCTGGAGGACCACTGTCCTGCAACATTTAGATGTGCCGCTGCTGCACCACACCTGAATACAATAATTAGGTGATTAGCAGGACTCTGGAGAACATAGCTACACAATGAGGAGGCAATTGAGCCATTTGACTCTGGTGTTTTGTATCTGTGGCACATCTAAAAACTGCCAAAATCTTTTTTCTTTGTTGGTGTGTCATGTTGGTGACTGAAGCCTGTTATGATGACTCCAACACATTTCTTCAGACAGGTTGGCACGACTTTTAATGCTGTCCAAATTTTTTTTCTATAAGCTGACTAATTTCTTTAGTAATTATTTCTGACTTTTTTTATGCTTTATCTTGTAAACCAGGTGGGCAGAGTAATTTGAATGAATATGATGGTGACACACACAGGTGAGTCTGATTAGTTTTGTTCACACTTCTTTTTAAAATATTTATTTATTATCCTNATGTTTCTGCTATATTTCTTGTTTTTCCTTCCAGGCTGGAAGTCTTCCTCCTTCATGTTGGCGAAAACAAGAGCAGCACCAAAGACACTTCACCATCAGTAATCACAAGACCATCCATGGCCGCTTCCAATGAACTTTCAAAGCACACTTCACCTTCAGTGCAAAGTGCAATGAATGTATGACCTTTGTTGTATATTGCTGTCAGTGCTGTTTGATGTTTTGAAATAAAAGTAGATTATATTCTGCAACTGGTGGTGGTGTTTTTGTAGAATCTACTGTCTTAAAATGAATTTGGAGATCATTGATGGCCAGTAGTTTCTGGGGGGGGAAAAGGTTTTATTTGCTCTAGTGGCTTTTATTTGGTAGTAAATTGATAAAAGTGGGTAATGAGAGAAGGGGAAGACCGGGAAGCGAACCCACGACAGCCGCATTGAAAACTACAGCCTCCATATGTGGGCTGTGCTTAACCCCTGCACCGCCACATCATACCTTGCCAGTAGACTTTTAAAACTCAGATTTCTATGTTAATATGTATTTTACACCGTTCTGTGTTGGGTTAACACATTCATAGTGTTAACTTTTAACAATATGCACTAGTTTTTGGGTAGATTAACACTGAAGTGTATTTGATTTCAGCTACTGTGAGTGTTGATTCAACTATATCACAAATAACACTTTCAAAAGTGTAACTTCTACACTATCCAGAGTAGACCTATATAGACACTTTGAAAGTGTTGAATTTAACTCTGTAGGAGTTGATGGAACACTTTCAAATTTGCCGTGCAGTGTCTCTGTTCAGTGGAGACATGGGACACATTTCAGATGGAACCAGTCCAACATGTTGGACCTTCATCCAGTCAGAGGACATGTCCTCAGAGCTGCTGCTGTCTGTCCAACTCATCTTGTCCTCTGTTGTCTCTCAGCCCAAGAACAGGTGGAGGTGGAATCAGGGGTGGAGTCTGTCCTGCTGTCCTGCAGAACCACAGAGAGTCTGGATGGAGACATTAGAGTGGAGTGGATGGACAGCAGAGACAAGAAGGTCCATGTGTATCAGAACGGTTCTGATCAGCCTGGAGAACAGCACCAGCGCTACAGAACCAGAACCAACATGGATGAAAACCTGCTGGAGAATAAAAACCTCAGTCTGACTCTGAGACGACCCAGAGAGAGAGACAGTAACACCTACATCTGCAGAGTCTACAGCGGAGACGGAAACGTCCTGATGGAGAAAGACATTCAGCTCCAGGTCAAAGGTCAGTGGTTTAAATGTATTTTTCCAATCAGCTGATTGGTTCTGATCAATAGTGATGATTGGCTGATCAGAAGGTCAAAGGTCAATGTGATGTAATGAGTGATGAAGATGAGAAAGCAGAGCAGAGCAGTGTCCCCATCTGTTCAGAACAGACGGGGACACAGAGTCCAACAGCTGCTGGGGACAGTCTGCAGCTTCCTGCTGTCCTCACTGAGGACATTCTGTCCACCTGCTGCTGGTTGGACACAGCAGAGACAACAGTGTCTCTGTTCAGTGGAGACATGGGACACATTTCAGATGGAACCAGTCCAACATGTTGGACCTTCATCCAGTCAGAGGACATGTCCTCAGAG